TCTATTTTTACCAAATTTTTAAGTATACAGGCAACAATAGCCAAACCATGCATACACATATACTTCAAATATTTTTTAATAGATGCAGATAAGCACATTTTATATTTGTCATTTCACTGAACAGCATCTTCTGGATGAAAAATGTAAATGTTACTACAGTAAATTTCTGTTATTCCATCAAAAACTTTGTTTCTTATAAAATGCTTCTTCTCATTATTACTTATGAACAAGACTGTAAACATAAGCCATAAAGCTAGCCAAACATTCCCCCCCCCTCTAATTAACAAAGCTGGCATCTTTTCTTAGGAGTTTAGACTATGATAAAGTGCTAGTTTTCTTTATGATGAATATCAAACTTCAACTTAACATGTTAATTGCTGATTGATCAACTTAACATGTTAATTCACATTCTCCCGCAGGATTTAACATTAATGTTGATAAAAAGATGGTTACACGTTGGCGCATGGTTAATCCAAACCTGAATAAGAAATTTTTGAGAGATTTTGTTTTACGTATGAAGTATAAAGAAAAAGGTAAAAATGGTGAAATTCCTATTTATGAAAGAAATTACATATATTGCAGTGCTGACTGACAATGAAAAAGATATGCAAAAACGGAAATTATTTGAACATAAGTATAATTTCTGATTTTAAAAGCCAGATCAGAATTCATTAAACTATTTCCAAGAATGACTGAAGATTCTTTCAGACATGTTGATGATAAAAGAAAGAAGCGTGAAGAATATACTGAAAGAAAAAAAAAAAAAAAAGAGTTGGGGAGAGAAAGAGCTGGAGAAGAATTAAAATGTTTTAAGTCTTTAAAATGAAAAGAAAAAAAAATAATAATAAGTTGAAAGAAGTGTCTGGACAACATGAATTGAACCTTGTTGATACTGAAAGTGATTTTAATTCTGAAAAACATGACCAAAAGATAAAAGAGCCATTTAATTACAGTTATTATGCTAGAATATCAAAATGAATGTCCAAAGAAGAATGTCCAATATTTCTGTTTTAAAAGTTATATCTCAAATCTTATGTTGTGAGTTATCTCACTTGTCTGACTTTGACACCCCCAAGGATGACCTATCTTTTCCTTTAAAGCTTGGGTCATATGTAATTTTCTTTCACACAGCCATCGTTTGTATTAGGGAGTAACAGAGATATAAAACATTTTCTCCTTCAGGACCGGTTCAGATGCATATCCTCTTCTATGGAGCCGCACTTTGCCGACCACTGGGTTAAGGGATAGAAGAGGATATGCATCTGAACCGGTCCTGAAGGAGAAAATGTTTTATATCTCTGTTACTCCCTAATACAAACGATGGCTGTGTGAAAGAAAATTACATATGACCCAAGCTTTAAAGGAAAAGATAGGTCATCCTTGGGGGTGTCAAAGTCAGACAAGTGAGATAACTCACAACATAAGATTTGAGATATAACTTTTAAAACAGAAATATTGGACATTCTTTTTGATATTCTAGCATAATAACTGTAATTAAATGGCTCTTTTATCTTTTGGTCATGTTTTTCAGAATTAAAATCACTTTCAGTATCAACAAGGTTCAATTCATGTTGTCCAGACACTTCTTTCAACTTATTATTTTATTTATTTTTTTTTTCTTTTCATTTTAAAGACTTAAAACATTTTAATTCTTCTCCAGCTCTTTCTCTCCCCAACTCTTTTTTTTTTTTTTTTTTTTTTTTTTTTTTTGGCTCCAGAGCCGCATGTGGCTCTTTGACTCCTTAAGTGCGGCTCTGGTACAAATACAAATGTGTTTGAATATAACCACCCAGCATATCAAAGATCTGAAATTGGTTTCGGCTTTATCAATAGCAATTGACGAGTCTTGTGACATAAATGATACAGCGCAAATTTCACTTTTTGTGAGATTTATGTCTCATTCAGACCCTAAAGAAGAAATTTTAGGATTATTGCCACTCAAAGGTCAGACGCGTGGAAAAGATATTGCCAATACTGTAATTGAGTGTATGGATAAACATCATATTCCCCTCGATAAAATTGTCTCGATTTCAAAAGATGGGGCCAAAAGTATGACCGGCGTAAGAAAAGGGGTTGTTGCTATTTTGAAAGAAAAAAGTTAATCAACGAGATACTTCTTTACCATTGTATCATTCACCAAGAAAGCGGTTTGTGCGCAAACATTTCCGGAATAAATTGTAAAGTTATGGAATTAGTGACTTACCATTATCAACTCCATCTTAGCTAAAGCTCTTAATCATCGCCAATTCAAAGAATTTTTATTTGAAATGGACAGCGAGTGAGTACGCTGATCTTCTGCTTCATAACAAGGTTACGTCGGCTTATCAAGAGGGAACGTTTTAAAACGTTTCGTGTGCCTTTTTCCAGAAATTAAAGCATTTCTCCTTGAGAAGGGCGTTCACTATCCAGAACTAGCAGACGATCAGTGGATCCCAAACTTTTATTTCATGGTAGACGTTATGCCTCATCTAAATCAGCTTAATCGTAAATTACAAGGGAAAGGAAACTTAATATTTTCGATGTTAGAAGAAGTAATAACATTCAAAAACAAATTATCCATTTTTGCACAGGATTTTGAATGGAAACATTGTTTCACTTTCCGAGCCTGCTGAAGCATTGCCAAGAAAATAATTCCTGTATTGATAAACACAATTTTAAAACAATAATTTTAAATATGAGGGAAGCATTTCTCAGCAGGTTTCAGGAATTTAAAAACAGCAGAGCAACTTTAGCATTTGTCAAAAATCCTCTTAATGCTACGATAACCGAGTTGAAATTTTCTCCTTTGACATTGGTAGCTTTGAAGCACAATTGCTGGATTTAAAAAACAAGGAGATATAGCACTCTAAATTCGAACGTCTTTGTGTTGAATTGGAAATATTGGAGAAGAAAAAAGATCTTAGTTCACAACACAAGTGGTCTGCTTTGAATGACCTGGAGAAGGAAGACATGATCATTTTCAATGCTTGGAATAGTATTCCTGACTCTTACGATCAGCTGAAAAAAGCTCGCGTTTGCTATTCTTTCCCTTTTCGGTTCTACATATACATGCGAACAATCTTTTTCAAGCATGAACATTATCAAGAGTAAACTGAGAAGTCGTCTTATTGATGAGAACTTGGAATCATGCCTAAAATTAAAAACAACAACATACAAACCTGACTTATTCAAACTTTCCAACGAGATGCAAGCACATTGTTCGCATTAATAAATATTAAGTATTAAATTTAGTTTTATTTAGTGTAATAAAAGTTTACTAAACAAGCAGATTTGGCTCCCAATTTTTTTTTAATTGTTGTAATGTTCATATTTGGCTCTTTGGCTAATAAGTTTGCCGACCACTGCCTTAACCCATAAGCCACTGCAAGCAATGATGTTACAAACAGAAATCGGATCCGCGGATTTCTAACATTTGATTACATCTTTATTGACATTGTTTACTATTGCTATAGAAAGCCAGCAGACTTTAACTCTTTAATTAATTAAAATATACCTAAATTAATTTAAAATGCAATTTTCATACAACATCAAATGGTTAATAGAAAAAAAGGAATCATGTATGCTGATGAATGGTTTAAAAAAAATGTTTTGTGGCTGTTAAAATTTCAAACTTCATTTTATGTAAAAATCAAGCATTTTATGTAAAAATCAATCAATCAAATTCAAACTTCATTTTATGTATCTTCATTTTATGTAAAAATCAATAAAACGACAAATTAATTTTACAGTACAAAGTCCGAGATCCGGACTCATCGGCGATCATGAATTTGGATATTCTACTAAGATGGCAGGCAGAAATTATAATATTAAAAATATGAAATCATGATTTATTAAATATTGAACTGTTTATGATATAAAAGGTATCATAATTTACCAAAAAAAAGCTTAATATTTATTCATTTACTTTAAACATTTCTTTCAATGTAAGTTGTTTAAGTTGCTTCGTTTTTTTGTCTTTAATGGTAGAAAATTCAGAGTTCTGCATCTTCAGATTTTGAGCACATTTAATATTAATTAAATTCATCATTCATAAATGGCAATATTATATATAATAATAAAATATATTAATTTTGGAACTTTTGTTTTTTAGTAAGCCATGTGAATGTTGTATGCATCTGTTATTTGAAGAAAACAATTAAATTTGTATAAATGCTGATTGGAAGAAAAATTTCAATTATATTGCTCTTAAATCTCTCTTAGAATAATCAGTAGTTTTTTAGTTAATTGAAATTACTTAAACTGACCCTGACTGAACCTGTCATTAGCATGTACTTTGGGTAACAGTACAACTTGATTCTGTTGTGTCCCAATTTTAAGGATAATTTACTGCAGAATGGATCAAAGGATCTTTCAATCCTCTTCTGCAGCACCATACACTTAAGAGGACTTTTTGCTGCACTGTGTATTTCAGGTATCCATAGGCTGCGATTTTAGGTATCCAAGCCTCGTCTGGGATTTAAACATGAATCCAGTGTTACAGCTGACAGCAACACTATCTACTGTACCAAGCAGGATGGCACCTGAAATCTTGAATCTAATATCAGTTTTTCTGTGTACATGACTTTCTTCAGTCTTAATTATAGTATAAAGCAACCTGTTGCTGTTGGTAAGAAATTGAAGTAATTTGAATTTTATTTTAAATGTTATTATTCCTTGTTATATCATAATTTATTAGCTGCTTTAACATTATAACTCCTTTTTAATTGGCAAATGTTTGTGCAATCTCTTCAAATGTTTTATTTAAAAACATAAACTGGCATATTTTATAAAAATACTTAAGACTTCAAGGGGGTCCCCCCCCCGAAATTGTTTGTTACTAGGTTAAAACACTTATACTGTAAAAAATAGCATCTTAGAACTATAGTTTTATTAAACTAAATGTAATATGTCTTAAAATTAAAATAAATTAAAGTACTAATAAAAGTTTAACATAAAATAGTTTGTATATTTTTACTTTTATTACTAAATAATTGATATATATATTTTTTAATGTTTTATAGAGACCTGGAGCTTTTGCAATTTATTTAGAACCTTGGCATGCAGACATATTTGACTTTTTAGATTTAAAGAAGAATACTGGCAAAGAAGAGCAAAGAGCAAGAGATCTGTTTTATGCATTATGGATTCCAGATTTATTTATGAGACGAGTAGAAAAAGATGAAACGTGGAGTCTAATGTGTCCAAATGAATCACCAGGACTTCATGAATGCTGGGGGGAGGAATTTGAAGAATTGTATGAAAGGTAGTTTGTACTTCCTTTAAATTTTCTAATTAAAAATTAGTGCAACTGAAAGTATAGTTTTATTAAATTTGAACTTTACCTGGTGCCAAAAAAAAAAAAAAAAAAACTCATGATATGCATTTGTTTCCTGAAGTAATTATGTATGGTGGATAATTTTGAATAATAGTAGTGTTTGGAGCTGCTAACTGTGTTAAGTTATGCAGCTGTTAATTTCGGTAATAGAAATTTTTATAGTGGTTCGTTAAGATGTTACAGGTTTCAACACTGAAACTAGAACTTTTATCAACTTTTAATTTTTTCATTTTAGGTATGAAAAAGAAGGGAGGTTCAGAAAGCAAGTTAAAGCGCAATCACTGTGGTATGCAATTATTGAATCTCAGATTGAAACAGGAACCCCATATATGTTGTATAAAGATGCTTGTAATCGAAAATCAAATCAAAAGAATTTAGGAACCATACAGTGCAGTAATCTATGCACAGAAATTGTTGAGTACAGCTCTCATGATGAGGTTGGTATTGATTCTTGAAAATTTTGTGTAGTAAATTAAATAACTTTTTTGATACTAGTATTTAAATATATTTTTTAACAAGAGCACTTCCACATATTTTGATAGGAAAAGCAAATTTATTTTTTTTATCTGCTCTCTCTCTGTCAGTAGTTTAAGTTTAGGAATAAATAAAGTTTTTTTAGTATTTTCTGTGCACACAGCCGCATTTTCCTTTCACAATAAATATGGATCATGAATCTGCCAAATTTTTATTTCAATTAAATCATTATTTTTAGTGTGTTCTCTATTCCTTTAAAGTTAATATCCAAAATTATCAATTCTAGCCCCCCTTTTTTTATGGAATCAATATTGAGAAAAACAGATTGTTTGCTTTTTTAAACTGTGCAAAATATTTTATCAGATATTTTCATCTGTTAAGAGGCTAAAAATTATTTTCAAGGCAGTTTTACTGGTGGATATGCAGCTAAACTTAATGAAAAATTTAAAAAAAGGAAAATATAAACTGAACTGTACAAGATATAGCCTACAATCTGGATTATTCTCTAATCCTTACAGTAGACGTCACTTAATGTGATGATGATTACATTATCATTCGAATTGCTATCGAATCACCCAAGTCCCACCCATTCGTATGAAAAATACATTGCTTATTGTAATCAATAATTTAGTTAATATGACCAAATTATTTTAGAATATTTTTTTTTAATTGAAGTAAAATGATAAATGTGTTATAAAAATTGCCAACTGACAAATGTCACTAAATAAGGATTAATTCACATAGCAGTTTAGTTTCGCTTTCAGCCAACCACTTAAAATTAGGCAAAAAAGCAACCTTAGCTTGATGTTGATTTTGAATAACTGTCGATTTTAAGGTCATTCAGACACAGGTCCTTCTTTAGCCAAAAAATATTTTCTGCAGAAATTTTTTCTTTTCTGGTGGGGGGGGGGATCACTGAAAACATCTACATGAAACTAGGGTTATTTGTTTAGTTCAAATTTTATGTTGATATTTTCTCTTTCAGTGAGGAATGCTATTGATGATTAATATTAAGGATAGATTATTGGTCAAATAATTTCTAGAAATGTTGTAAACGGATTATAAATTAACTTTTGTGTTAAAGACATTATGAACATTTTGTAAACTTTTGCATTTTCCTAAAATGCTGTGAAAGTATTTATGTATATGTTTCTAGTTATTTTTATACTAGTTTAATTCCATTGCCATTTTTAAAGATATTTTTTCTTATTTAATGTTATCAATATAGCCATGTGCAAATTCATTAAGCAACACCTGTTCTATATTTCTTTGCCAATTATTGGAATTCTGTTGTATTTATGAACTTTTTAAAAATGAAAAATATATCTTACTGTGTCTGTAAAATAAGAATACTTTGATTAAATGTGTGATGTTATAAACATATTGTTTCGTATGCTGATACCTGTTTAAAGCACTGCAAGAATAAAAACAAATCAGTATTGCTTCTGTTTGAATGTGATGATTCTGTGCATTAAAATTATGTACTTTTAATAATGCAAAATGGAATATAGTGACATAATTTATATATACCGGGTGGCCATAATTAAACTGTCAGTGCTCAATGTTCTGTAGCGCGATCTATTTGCGAGAAGACGCCACATTTTGTAGGAAGATTAAACAAGACGGGGCGAACAATTCCGCGGAAAAAAAAATTAATTCCAAAAGTCACCGCTGGTGGAATATTTGGCACTGTGTAATAGAAAATAGAGCGTTAACAAATGCAGATTAATACGGAATAAAATTACCATTTATTATGCACTTTTCTGATTTAGTTCAAGTGCAATATGGCAACACTTTAAAAAAAAGCTTAAAATCTACATAAACATCGATAAAGTCTCCTGATCTGATCACGTATGCTGAGACGAAGAAGTTCTTTATTCAAATTTCACGTTATATCCATTCGCCAGTGCCAGCTGCTTGGGTTTTAAAAAACAATGTGTTACGTTTCGAATCAATCGGATTGAAGTTTATGTGCAATATCTCCTTCTTTAGTCGAGTGTGCGTTACTGGTCAAATTCTTTTACCTCAACCAGTGCAACGCGTCAGCCGCTCTTTGTGCTTTTAGAACGCACAAAAAAATGCATAAAGGTAAGTCCTTTAATGGGCTAAAAGCAGTGACTGCGACGTTTGAGAGAACAGGTTCTCTGAAGGTTCAGTTAGGCAGAGGACGAAAACCTGTACCACAGGATACAATCGAAGCAGTTGCCACAGCGAAAGCGAATGTCGACAGAGAACCAGACGATATTGCTGCCACCTCTAGCGCTCGTGGAGTAGCTCAGAATATGGATATGCCTGACAGTATGGTATGGAAAACCTTACAAAAGATTATCAACTTCTATCCGTACAAGATCAGCCGTGTACAGGAGTTACTGTACCCCGACCATGATAAGCGATTGACTTTTGCTCTCACCTTTCTTGCCAGAATGGAGGTGGAAGATGCTTGGGCCGTGGAAAATCTTATGGGGAGACGAGGCCCACTTTTACCTTAATGGAACTGTGAATACCCAGAACTGCCGAATTTGGGATGACAAATCAGCACATGCAGTCACAGTAAATCCCTTACATTCACCAAAGGTAACTGTTTAGTGTAGATTCACAGCGGAATTTATCGTAGGTCCATTCTTCTATGAGAACATTACCCCGACAGGACCGGAAACATCTTTTGTTACCGGAGAGAAATATCGCCGCATGTTTGAACAGCTTTGTCATTCCGGCACTTCAGCAAAGACAACGTCTGGGGGAAATCATTTTCATGCAAGATGGAGTCCCTCCACACGTAGCTTTATGGGTGCAACAGATGCTACGACAGAAATTCACAACAGAAAGAATCATTAGCTGCTGCTTTCCAACTGCATGGCCACCTCGGTCGCCTGATCGTACCCCATGCGACTTCTGGCTATGGGGTTACATTTAAGTCCAAAGTCTCTCAAGGAGCAGTCCAGGACCTGGCTACGTTGAAGGATAATATATCACGAACTGTACGGGAGATTCCTGCAGACATGTTACTTTCCGCTGTTGTGCATACTGTGCACAGAATGCAATATGTGGTCCACAACAACAGCAGCCACATTGAACCTCATTTGAATGCAAAATAAAAGGTAATTTCCATATTGATTTGCATTTGTTAACACTGTATTTTCTATTACACAGCGCCAAATATTCCTCTAGCAGTGACTTTTGTATATATATATATACCGGGTGGCCATAATTAAACTGACAGTGCTCACAATGTTCTGTAGCGTGATCTATTTGCGAGAATGACGCCACATTTTGTAGGAAGATTAAACAAGACTGGGGACGAAGGATTCCGTGAAAAAACAAATTAGTTCCAAAAGTCACCGCTAGGGTGAACTAATCTGGACGCTAGGAGGGACTAAATGGAACTAATTTGTTTTTTCACGGAATCCTTCGTCCCCAGTCTTGTTTAATCTTCCTGCAAAATGTGGCGTCATTCTCGCAAATAGATCACGCTACAGAACACTGTGAGCGCTGTCAGTTTAATTATGGCCACCCGGTATATATATATATACAAAAGTCACTGCTAGAGGAATATTTGGCGCTGTGTAATAGAAAATATAGTGTTAACAAATGCAAATTAATATGAAAATTACCTTTCATTTTGCATTCAAATGAGGTTCAATGTGGCTGCTGTTGTTGTGGACCACATATTGCATTCTGTGCACAGTATGCACAACAGCGGAAAGTAACATGTCTGCAGGAATCTCCCGTACAGTCCGTGATATATTATCCTTCAACGTAGCCAGGTCCTGGACCGCTCCTTGATAGACTTTGGACTTAAATGTAACCCCATAGCCAGAAGTCACATTGGGTAAGATCAGGCGACCGAGGTGGCCATGCAGTTGGAAAGCAGCGGCTAATGATTCTTTCTGTTGTGAATTTCTGTCATAGCATCTGTTGCACCCATACAGCTACGTGTGGAGGGACTCCATCTTGCATGAAAATGATTTCCCCCAGACGTTGTCTTTTCTGAATTTCCGGAATGACAAAACTGTTCAACATGCTGCGATATTTCTCTCCGGTAACAAAAGATGTTTCCGGTCCTGTCGGGGTAATGTTCTCATAGAAGAATGGACCTACGATAAATTCCGCTTGGAACCTACACCAAACAGTTACCTTTCGTGAATGTAAGGGAATTGCTGTGACTGCATGTGCTGATTTGTCATCCCAAATTCGGCAGTTCTGGGTATTCACAGTTCCATTCAGGTAAAAGTGAGCCTCGTCTCCCCATAAGATTTTCCACGGCCCAAGGATCATCCACCTCCATTCTGGCAAGAAAGGTGAGAGCAAAAGTCAATCGCTTATCATGGTCGGGGTACAGTAACTCCTGTACACGGCTGATCTTGTACAGATAGAAGTTGATAATCTTTCGTAAGATTTTCAATATCTATATTCCAAGCTACTCCACGAGCACTAGGGGTGGCAGCAATATTGTCTGGTCCTCCATCGACAATCGCCGTGGCAACTGCTTCGATTATATCCTGTGGTACAGGTTTTCGTCCCTCTGCCTGACTGAACCTTCAGAGAACCTGTTTTCTCAAACGTCGCAACCATTGCTTTTTTTTTTTTAAAAACCCAAGCAGCTGGCTCTGTGTGAATGGATGTAACGTGAAATTTGAATAAAGAATTTCTTCTTCTGCTCAGCATATGTGATATTGCAGATCACGAGACTTTATTGGTGTTTATGTAGATTTTACGCTTTTTAAAAGTGTTGCCATATTGCACTTGAACTAAATCAGAAAATGTGAATAATAAAAGGTAATTTTTTTCCGTCATAATAAACAAGACATTACTATAAATAAAAATAACTGTTGGTGTGTATGCATATTAAAGAGGAAGAAAATCTGAAGGAAATTAAATTAAAATAATAAACTTTAATAAAATGCTCATTTGAAATATGCAGGCTATATTGCATTTGTTGTCCTTGTATCTACATATAATCATG